GAGAATGAAAAACTGATTTATAAAGAATCTTTTAGGTTGGAAAAGAATATATCCCAGAGATGTTGTGGATGCACCATCCCTGGAAGTGTTCAAGGCCAGGCTGGATGAGGCTTGGAGCAACCTGGTCTAGTGGAAGGTGTCCCTGCCCATGGCAGGGGGGTTGGAACTGGATGGGCTTTAAGGTCCCTTCCAACTCAAACCATTCTGTGATTCTATGATATATAGAAAAAAAGAATATATGTAGAAGTATTTCTACTGAAGTAACTCCCAAACTTTTCAGGTAGCAATTCTCCTTCTGGACTGATAAATCACACTTCTGCAATTTAATTTCAGAGAAGATCAATATCCCTTGTTTTTCTGATGCAACTTGTGGCAATTTGAATTTCCAGTTCTCTGCTGTCACATCAAAGCAGGACTCATGAAACTTGAAATGCTTTCTCCAGTCCAGTTCATCATGTTAATCCCATGTGATGAGTCTTTTGGAATTTCCCTTAGCGTAAGAGTCTGCAATTCCATCTGGCACCTTCCGTTATGATTGCAAACGTGACAAGTTTTGGATTGGTGCCTTTTTTGCATCCTCGATAGAAGTGACCTAAGCCTGGTTCTGAGCTCAAGATTTGGCCACAGACTTTGAGGCACAGGTTTTCTTTCTGTGGGAGGACGCCCCCACTCCCCTCGACAGACACTGCCTGAACCTGCCTCTTGCTGGTACTGAGGAATGGTGCAGTCACCAGTGAGGAGTTTAAGATTCATGTCAAACTAGTGGTATGAAGCAGTTTTTGTCTCTGATAAATAAAGTGAGAACTTCAAGCTCTTAACTATGACAGAGGCAACTGTAGCAAGAACTGTCTTATACTCCCTAAGGCCCTGCTCTGCTAGGAAAATAATTTCAAAATATGTCACATGTGAACTCCTAGAGCAGCATTTTTGTATCTCACATAATAAGCGTTTAATGTACGTAATTCCCAGTGCTGCCAGTGTCAGGTGCTTATTGCACCATTTGTTATAAACCATGTTACAGTAACCGCAGGGAATGATGTGATAGATGCCAAGATACTGTAATCCTTGAAATATACCGCCTTGCATGGGCAAAAAAAAAGCTTATTTTGAGAACACCTTTAGATTGGCAGCTCTGCTACAGTGTTCATAAATAGTTGGAAGTCAATTGCAGAATTTTTCCATTCATAGACTGCAAAATGCCCAGGGCCCTGGGACTCTGGAAATGCTTGTGAGGTAAATATCTTCTCACAAGCTGAGGTTGTGACCTCAGCAACCCTGAGATAACAGTTCCCTACTTCTGACAGCATACATCAACAATTTCAGGCAGATCCATACGTTGTAAGCTCCCCTACTTTATGTGTTGAAAGCAACCTATAACTTGCACCTAGGTGCCAAATCCTTCTGCTGATCACAGTCTACAAATCACAACCTTCTTTTCAGATGTTTTTTTTTTTCTTTCCTGTTTACACTGAGAGGAAACTTATGTAAGAAACTCTCTAGCAGATGCTACAACAACAGTAATTAGAACAAATCTCAATTCTCAGCGGTGAGATTGTAACAGAAATAATAATTACCCAGCTCAGAAGATTAAAAAGGGAAGTGATAGTAAATCCATCATCTCCACCTTTACAGACTGCAAAAACAAAAATAGGCATTTTTCAGGTATGATTCATCTGCTCTGTTTTAAATGTCTCTTGTGGAGTGCAGTTTATAGCCTCCACCAAATACAAGGGGAGTCCAGTGTGACTAGCTCACATTCAGATCCCTGCAATGCAGTCTTGTATTTTAGGTGTGGGGAGCCCTACCTGCTGCAGCCTGCTGTGGAATGGGAGGAGGGTTTCAAATGCCAGCACAGCGCAGTGCTGCCAAATGTTCTCCACAGGGAGCCTTGGGTGAGTGGAGCCAGAGACAGACGCAAATAGCCAAACAAATCCCCCCCCTCCCCAAGTTCCTTGTGGTACCCAGGAAAGGTGTAAAAGGGAGTGAAAATAAGTTCCTTGCTGGGACCATTAATTTTGTACTCCATTTTCATTGCTGTTTTCGAAAAATGAGTAGTTGTTGGATATTTTCTGCATAGTCTGATAATTCTAGTAAACTGAGCCTCTTGCAACCAATGGTAAAACCAAGAGTCTGTTTTCAGTCAGACTGGAACTGCAAAATGTGTCTTTTAAAGTGTATCACATAGAATCATAGAATGGTTTGGGTTGGAAGGGACCTTAAAGATCATCTAGTTCCAACCCCCCTGCCATGGGCAGGGACGCCTTGCACTAGACCAGGTTGCTCAAAGCCACATCCAGCCTGGCCTTGAAGACATCCAGGGATGGGGCATCCACAACATCTCTGGGCAACCTGTTCTGTTTGACTCACTTATCTTATTTTTATCTCTCTCTTTCTTCTTTTCCAGATAAATTTTGTATTTCTATTTAACATAGTTAGGATTTTGATGACAAAGCTGAGAGCTTCAACCACTTCAGAAACAATACAGTACAGGTAAGTCAGCCAGTGCTCCTCGCTGTTCGTGGTGTTAGCAATGAACTTCCTTGGCTGCCCCGTCCTTGACCCATCTTTGCCGTTCCAGATGCCACTGTTCATCTCAGAGGGTGTCTTTCTTGCCTGTTTGGATCATACAGTTAGGAACACCGTATTTATTTTTGCAGGCTGTCTGTAAAAGTGTGCCTGCATATTTTTCTGTCCACTCCATTTCACTGTCCAAACAACGCAAACAGCCTTGGCTTACAGGCACGGAGACACGTGCACGGCCGCAGCCACCAGCCTCTTCACCTCCTTGCACATGCCCCAACCCACATGTGAAATTTCACCATTCCAATAAAAGCTGAAGGGTTCAGTTTTAAGTGAAAGTAGGTACTTTATTGAGTTCTACAGGGTAGATGCAGAGAGTGATAAGGTGTGCCCTGAGCCTCCTCTTCTCCAGACTGAACACCCCCAGCTCCCTCAGCCGCTCCTCGCAGGAATTGTGCTCCAGACCCTTCCCCAGCCCCGTTCCCTTCTCTGTAAATATACCGTGACTCCTTTCACTGACGACTAGACCATGAATTCAGCTAATCTGGAGAATCAGTGAAAAATTGTTCAGTCCCTACTAGGTTGCTTCTCTGTCCCAGTCTCTAGCTTTGTAGATACAGAACAACACAGTATCAAGACCTCCCAATAAGTCACGTGCATATGCATATTAAGATCCTTTTTCATATTAATGTCCTAGCAGAGCCAGAAGTAAAAGAAGAGAACCTGGGCCAAAACACTCATATATCTGTAATCAATAACAGTATCATCACTGATGATTACTCTGTACATACAGGTATTTACAGTAGGGCTTAATGGGGTTTTTTGAGGTGTTGGGTGTGGGAATGAAGGGTGATTGTGCCCACTCCCTTCAGCTGGTACCAGCATCCATATAACCACTCAGTGGGTGGCATCATGGAATTGACACTTAACTAATCATTCATTACATGTATGTGGGGTTGGTTCCCAAGGGAATCAGCTTCCTGAGCTGGCTGGCCGTGCAGCCTCACAAGCACTAGAGTGACAGTGTGGCCTTAGGTCAGCCTAAACAGTCTAAAAGATAATTCTTAGCGATGAGGCGATTCTGACTGCTTTCCCTGTTTTACAGTTTGCAGTATCTTACAAGACAGGCCAGAGTTTTGGAGTATTTATTGGCAGACAGGTCCTCACACTAGGAAATTGCACAGGTTTTGTGCAGTAAGATTGGTCAAAATCCTCAAAATCATTTCTAGATAAAGTCTAGCGTATCAAGCTGAGGCTTGAGTCCTCATGTCCTCAAATCAGCCTGCTCTTAGGAGGCAGTTTTGGTGCAGTAATGGGGTTTTGTTGTTTTGCCTGGTTCCTTCCTTTTACTACTGTCTGCGGTACGGGGACAAATATGAAGGTAATGCAGTGGTATGATTTTCTTGTTCAGCCTCTTCTCTGCACGTTTCCTGAGAAATAAAGGGATTAAAACCATCATTCTTCATGCTCAAACCTATAAAATTAAAATTAGCTTGAAGGAACCCTAATTCAAATCACAGTACATTTTTCTCTCTGCTGCAGCTTGCAGGGAATATTAGAGATACTAGATTCTGAGACAATCTAAAGTAACTACTTTTGTCCTTGGATAGAGAACGGTGATCTTATCCTTGCTACAAGCTCTGTGAGGGAATGGTCTTTTACACAGCCTGAATAGAAACGCTTATAATTCCAGGAAAGCCTGGGGCAAGCCTTGCAGCTTTAAAGCTGAGTAGTCCAAACATTTGTTAAGCAAGTGTTAAATGATGTGGCAGCTACTTTAAGATTGTCGCTCTAGCCTAACACTGGCAATGTTGTTGTGCTCTCCTGCCTGCCTCCCTGCCTGTCTTTTTCTACCTGTTATGGCATTATACAGAGGTTTTTACAGACTTAGCAAAATTGCAGTCCTCTGTGTTTGTGCAGTGTCTAGCGCAATGAGGTGCCATTCTGTAACTGACATCCCAGGACACTATCACAGCACCAGTAATAAAGATTAGCTCATAGTAATTCTGTTAATAATCACTTATGCCTCATTGTGCACCATCTGCTTGTTTATTATTCATAAGACAGCCTTAAGCAATTGTGTTGGGTGTGCAGGTGTTGCAGACAGAGAGTATTTACATTCCAGACTGAATAAAAAGATGTGCATAGTTTTTTTTTTCCTGCCTTGGTCAGCAGCCAAACTGTGCACTGATTACATTGCAGTGTAAGAAATCACTCACTGAGCTCACAGAGAATCTCAAGGCTTCAACCTGATGCAGGCCTCATTGATAGAAACTGTTTGGAGGAAGAAGAGAGAGAAAAGGAGAGGGGTAGAAAAAAGGTTCCCATTTGTTCCCTGGAGTTCAGGATGTGGGGACAAACACAAGGGATTCAATGGCAAAGGCTTTCCTAGAAAAAACGTTTTCCAGCACAATGGCAAAGGCTTTCCTAGAAAAACCTTTCTCCAACTGGTCAGGCACTGGTCAGAAAGTGTTAGCTACCAAACTCACCTGTGGCTTCACAACCCAAAGTGGAGGCTGTCTCTTTCCATGCTTCCCTGCTAAACTCTATTCAGCCTTTCGGACACGGGATCAGAGTCCTTCTTAAATATGCTTTCCCAAGCTCTAAGAAACTTGTGTTCTTCATTGCCGGAGGACCCTAGGAGCCTCTATCTTGGGTTACACAAGAAGCTGATTATGAACCTTGGGACTTTTCCTGTTCAGGCAGGCTGAGAAGTGTCTAAAACTTGGATGACCTCCTGGAAAAAAGCTCTAATTACTCGGTTATTGTGCAAATACAGGCTTCCACTTGTATCCTCAGCAAATGCTCTAGCAGTGTGCCTCGAGAGATGGAGGTACCCACAGGGAGTACTGGTATCCCCTATCTCCAGTCACCTGCGCTAGATGCTGGACAGAAGCTGACGTGGGAATTTCTCTCTTAAAATGCTTCTTTCCTCCAGTGACGGTACATATTGGACAATGCTGAGCAGACATGTCTTAGGCCATCCTCTTGTTTTCTTCTCAGCTACTCCCTGTCGGACATGTGCAGGTGCTGAACTGTCTTAATGTGGCACCTAAGTTCCCTTTCCAGCTAACATAGGTACCTCACTTCCCTCTGAATTGCTCTGAGACTCATCCCCTCTCTCCACTACAGTAGTGAGTTGTTTGGTCAGGTAACACAGTTGTTCTTTCTTGTGTTCACTTGTGTTTTGTTTCCTGCCAACAGGAAGGCAGTCAAGGCAACGTTAGTACTTCTGCCTCTGCTAGGCATCACCTACATGCTTTTCTTTGTCAACCCTGGTGAAGATGACATTTCCCAGATTGTCTTCATCTATTTCAATTCCTTCCTGCAGTCTTTTCAGGTAAGAGAACAAGTTTACAGCTGGTATCGCCTATTGCAGAAAGGATCCTCAGTGCTTTTCAGCTGTGCAACTTATGGTGATGCAGTCCATGGTAGAAATAGTAGTTGGAAAGAGCTCAGCTTTGTTTATGCTTATGTAATAGCTAGATAAGCATGTCATATGGAGTGGAGATCTCCTCTCTGGTGTATACAGGAGGGATTCATCTCCCTTAACATCAACACTATGTTCAGGCTATAGTTACAGCTCCTCACCTGGGCTCCACCTAAAACATTGGAGAGAGATGTTGTTTCACCCTAAACTGCCTGAAAGAGGATATGGAATCACCCTCCCAGGCTGCCTCCCCACACAGCACAAGTGAGCTGAGACTAGATGTTGCTAAAGCAACAGGAAACAACTCCTACCTGTTGTGCTCGCTCAGTGAAGACATTGGCTATATTCCCCAGCCTCTCACTCCAGCTGTCCTGCAGTGGTGCAGGCACTCAGCAGTCAGACCATGCCAACTCTCTGAGAACTCGTACCCTTCCTCCTCCTTCCCCTGAATTCAATAGGAGTTCTGCCAGGATGTAAAAGGCAGCGGAACCTGAGTACTTGCCCCAACATTCTGGATTTGGCACAAAACCAAAAGGGTCTGAGGATCCTAAATGGTGTTTAGCCACATGTTTCTGCTTAGGTGTGTCCTACAGCTTTACCTCTGCTTTAAGTCATTCTTGAACTGGGTTGCAACTGTTTGCCATTCATATTTTACCTCTGATACCTGATAGCCGTACTCTGATAGTCAGGGTATTCAATACACATACACAGCACACACGCTGTCAAGCCAAATCTAGGGTTATGGATTACACACAGGTTCTGATGTTTGCATTATTATTCTAACGGATTGCATGTTTAGCTATGAAATACAGTGCATCCCACCAGAAATCGAAACAATATACAAAAAGAAAAATGATCCTTTTAACCTGTGTCGAAAGGAATTTTAGGCTTTACCAGTGAACCGATCCACATTTTCCTTTCCCTAAAATTAACTGGTTTTTATCTGCTGATGCTCAGTGTCTCCAAAAGTGCTGCGTGGCTTATTTTATGATTGGTGTTATGAAAACATATGTAAGAAAGAAAGCACAGGGGCTCTCTCCTCTGTGGTGACAATAATTACAGTCTGTTGCTGAAAGCAAAAAGGGTAGGACTGTGCTCACAGGTTTAGAGATGAAAGTGTCATCATGTTGTCATCTGAGCTCCCATTATAGTCATTACAATCTTTGCAGTCTTTACAGGGGTCTAATCACTGCTGTCAATAGATTCCACAGAGCAATGCATCTCAGATGAACATAAGCGACCTGATGATACACTTGCTGACACCAGATCATCTGAGGCCATTTGAGGATCCACCCCGGGGTGTCTGAGACCTCCCCATAGACCTGGCGTGATGTAGCACCTGTGAGGGGTCTGTGCCATGCTGGGAAGGGAGCTGGAAGCCGTAGAAAAGCTGTAGCACAGCTGAAGTGGCAATCCCCTCGATCAGTGGAAGTGCTGTCCAGATTCTAGCTCTTCTGTCTCACCTGTGAGCTGCAAGACACTTAGTATTTTCTCAGGAAGTTGTAGGGTAAGGATGTCATCTGTCTGGAAGGGGATGATCTCAACAAGATTGTGGTTTTGCTCAGGATGATCCCAGGATAAAGCTCCATCCTCGGTTCTGCACAGTAAAACACTTAACTAATAATTGACTGCTTTCTGTTCTTTCCAGGGTTTCTTTGTGTCAGTATTTTACTGCTTCTTGAATGGTGAGGTAAGTAGTATGCCCTGCTGTCAGTGTAATTCCATCTGGGAAGTGGAACCTACCTGAATGCCTGATTATAGTGACTTGAGGTGTTTTTGCATGGGGACCTGTCACTCAGTTGCTCTTCCAGAAGTTTCTGTTAATGTGCATCTGATTTTCCTAGCCCTGTTTTCAGGTGTCCTTTGTTCAAAAGCTTTATCATATTCAGGTCCTGAGAGGTCAGGGCAGAGGAAAAGAAGTCTTCTCAGATTGTAAAATTCTTTGTTCTTCAGTCTAAGACTTGATTAAGTTTCTCATTAATTAAAAATGAGATTTCTGGGCATATATGAGCATTACTTCTGAGCTGGGCTCTTGTTAAGGATATGCTGCAGGTGACCCGTTTTCATAATGGGATTGCCCTGCTGAGTTGAGAGAATTATTTTTTTCTGTGTGGGTATCTGTCTCTGAGTGATCGTTGTGTGTTGCATTCAGAAAAGAGGGTTGGCGACAGGGTCGGTGGTGTTCCTCAGAATTGTTAGGTGCTACTCAAGCAAGAAATGCTTCACTAATATCCCTGGGTGTTTGGCTCACACCCCAAAGTGTGAGAGATTTGTATCTTTTCCCTTGCTTACATTGCCAGCATCTCATTTACCTGCTTTGAAGTGTGTCACCTCTGTCCAGTTAAAATTTGGGACTCTGCAGAAA